ATCGGCATCACCATGAATTTCGTCAGCCTGTTGCTAAATCTTGCAGTACTGGTACTCCTCCTTCTTCTGAAAGGCAAGCCCAGAATGTTCTTATCCCATCTGCGTGCCATGATTGCTTCAACTGTCCTCCACGTTTTCCTCAGGACCAGTAGTCGCATCATCCCCAAGCGACGTCTTCTCGCTGACTCCATACTGGCCCCATTCATCTGCCGCGCAGTACGGAGTCATTATCTCCTTTTCTGGACCAGCACATTTGCGGTCCTCATGCTGACATTCACAGTGAGAAATAGAGCGATTCAGATTGTCTGCAGATACCAGTACTCCTACTCCACATCCCTTATCGGCAATCTCTCCTACGTGATTGGGTTTGGCCTAGTTAGCCTTACCTGCCTGATTCCTCAAACATTTATCGTGCAGTGGGATGACGGCAGTTGTACCTGTCTTGACAGGCACCTGCCCTACGAAATACTTTTGTCCTACTACACTGGGACGTATCTTCGGTTTGGGTTAACTGCAGGTCTATGCACCATCATTTTGAGCATCTCCTGCTATAAAATTATCAGCTGGGTGCGAAACACACCCCGTGACCAGCTGTACGACACTTGGAACATCCTCACCCTGCCCGGCACTTCGGAGGAGCAGGCGAAGGCACTACATCGTCCGCAGGGCTGGATGACGGCCTTGCTCTGAAATGTACCACTTTCGGTTAATTTCTTGGTGAGCGGCATCTACGAGACCGGCTACAAGTACATGTGTGCAGCGGGCTTCTGTACAATTCAGTTGGACACTTTGGTATACAAGATAAGCCAACTTCTGGGCGACCTTCGTGTGCTCGTCTTGCCAATCATAATCCTCATCTATATTCCGGCACTGCGCGCTCTGCTAGTTTGTGTTTATCAAAAAGTGGTACAAAAGCTATGCGGGAGAAAAAAGAATATGGACGACCGCGGCTAACCGGACTTACTAAGTACGGGGAATCAAAGGGCAGTCTTCATGAAGGGTGGTCAGCTTCTTGCAGTAGTGTATCTACGTTGAGAAACCTTGCTTTTTTAAGCAAACATTGCAGCACATTCGCAATCGCACAGGAAAACAGTCAGATTGACTTTGTAGCAAAACTGTCTTATAGGGACCCAAAAGTATATATTGTTGCCCCCCGCCCAACTGTCTAGCGTATTTAGTGGTCAAACATTTAATTCTTGGTTAGCTAGTGTACATGAATATTTAATTGTGTTGGAAGATGTCAAAAAATGTTAAATTAGAGAAAATTATATTTGTTTCAACATAATAGATAGAATGAAATCCATCAACATAAACTCCTGTTGCTCCGGATACTGATGCTAAATGAGGGAAATTCAACCTTATATTGGCGAAATTTAACGAAAAAGGGAGTTTTGACCTTATATTGGCAGTATTTAACGAAAAAGGAAAGTCAGGTTACTGAAAATGTAAAAGTAGATTGTTATAATGGAAAGGCAAAAAGGACCTCTAAAGACTGCCCTGCTGACTTTTCCTATAGAACAAAATAAAGGAGTGTTAATTTCCATTATGTCTCTAGTTGTCTTCTAGTGCAATTAATCAGCAGTAATTTGGACTTTTGACGGCTCGCTTTAATGCAAATAGGTGCTAAAAGGCAAAGCGAGTTTTAATTTAATCTAGAAATAAAATGCACGGCATAAAAGTCATTATTGATACTCGGTGATGAAGGTTCACCGACCGCTAACGGAATTCACTTGTTCCGCTCTGTCACGGTCTTCATTTTTCGGGTCCTGACAGAAGCTGTAACCAGTCGTCGACCCAACCCCAAGCGGAGCACCACCAGATGCTCGAACTCACGAGCTTTATGATCAGAGTCTAATGCCAATATAAGCAACCATGCGAGTCAGGAAGCAATTGAGAAGAAGAAGAAGAATCGATCGCTGGGACAATACGTTTATTCGCCTGCCGCCTCAACATCCGTCGCGGATTCATCATCAGAGACATGCATAGGAAACAGTAGCAGAAACGGGTAATGCATACATAGAAGTTTGCAGTATTTATAGGATACAGTCATTACTGCAAAAACATACAGCTACAATTAACGTTAATTGCCTTCTTACGCGTGGATAGTTTGTTGGATGGCACGCGGACTCTGACTTGCTGAACTTTCATCACGGGCGGTGGGCTCAGGCGTGATGATTGCTCGGTCATTTGGCCCTCCTGTGTCGGTGTAAGATGAGGCGGTGGCCTGCCCATTCCTCAAGTGACGACTTTCTTTGGCCGAATTGAGTCTCAGCACTGAATATGGATTGGGTAAATCGTTGCACTTGTTTATGGATTCGGGGCCCGTGAACCATGACTCAAGTAGTTCTCGGCTCATCCGATTGTCACCTCTTGCGAGAATTTCGGCCTCACCAAATTTGAACA